TCGAGCTCCAAAAGTACACATCTAGTTTCATTAATATTCATGAACAAAAAATGAAAGATATCAGAACTATTCAATTCATAATCCTAGCTGACGTCAGACCATTGTCAATCAATATCAAACGTTTTGCTTGTCAGTCTCGGATTGAATACCGGCAAAGCCATTTTTGTTTAAGTAAAAATAATTGCTAAGTAATTACCAGCTAGCAAAAAGGCTAATAATTACAAAAACAGTTTTTTTTTTTCGATAGAACTTTATTTAATTCCTACAACTTTTGTGATAACTAAAAAACAGACAAATGTTTCATAAATGTGGCAATGTTTTTTCCAACATTTCTCCATAACGCGGATAAATTGTAACAATCAAAAACAGAAGTGAAGCCCCAAGTATTGCTGCTCGTTCATCTTGGGTTGTTGCTGCCTCTCTGGAATAAACATTTGTATTTCACAAGATATGGATTCTTGAACAAAAAGAAAACTATTTAGATCAGTTTTATAAGTAAGACTGAAAAGATCACAAACTTGAACTCCAATTCGATTGATTCTTTGGTCGTGAATATTGATGGTCTAACAAAACCAACACTTCCACAGTTTGGTTTATAAAAGTCAAGTGAATATTCGCCGTTCATGCAAACACAACAGCGAACCAAATTTTGCAACAATCCAAACACCTTAAAAATTCTTTGTTTTCTATAAAATAAACGCTGTGCAGTAGTACACAGTTTTAGGGCAAACTTTGATACCTCCTTCATTTCTGTGCTAACAAAATCCAATACTGTATGACCATTCTTTGAAATATGCCATTCGTTACCCGTTTGTAAAGTCCTACCAAATTCTATCTAAAATTTGATTGCAGTCACACTAAGTATAATTTATACGTTTGCGGTAAATTTAATTACTTACAAAAAAAATTTAAAAATCAAATAAAAGAAAGTTTTATCCAGTTCATTACGATAAGAGATATGCAATAAAAAAATAGAACTGATCAGAAATAAAGAAAATGTATTTAGCAGTGATTTAGGAAATGCTGTATAGCCTAAAACACGATAACAAGAGTCTTAGCCAAGCAATATTTTTCGTTTCTAATTCTGTCATTGGTTGGCAATATCTCTAAAGATCTTACTATTACACACAACCTTGTAAAGAGTAGCCCCGGCAGGATGCAGGATTTTTCCCATATGGGTCCTTGAATTCTCCGGAAGCCTTACATCCATTACAGCTTTCCCACGTGTTGTCCTTAGAAGAATTCCTTGACCATCAACTAACTCTCCAGCAAATAGTTTACCACATGTGCTTCCTTTAGCATTCACTTCAAAATGCACTGGTCTGAAGTCAGATGGCGACGGTGCATTGCAACTGAAAAACAGTCAATCATGGTGCCTCATACTATCATTTTTGTCTGTTTGACTGCATTTCCCCCTTTATACTCACCAACCAAAGATTATCAAACCTTATTGAATATTTCAAAAAAAAAAAAAA